ATTTGATTCCATTTCTTCAACTACAATTCAATTCTCTAGGTAACTATCAACATAGATATCTATAGACATAAATATTAATATCATCCATCCATCCATTCATACTTCCCCCACCCGTCCTCAAGGGACGAAATCCTAATCAAATGTACTGTCCATCCATCCCCAGCCCCCAACCCCAAAGTTCCAAATACATTTGATCCCATCCCATCCAATCCCATCTAATCCATACCAGACGCCTTGGAAAAGCATGTATGTACACTATCATACAACCGCCACTCCTTGACTTCTGTTCCCTCCCCAATCGCCCCCTAATTCCCAAGTCCTCCAACCCGATCACCTCCTCCCTACCAAGAAACCGGTGTTTCCCTCGCCCTCGCATCAAAATCTCCCTTCTTCACCCCCCTAGTCCCACACCTCAACATCGCCCACCTCCTCTCGAGATTAAACCACATTTCCATAACCATCACTCTCTTCTCATCTGGCACCACTTGTTTTTCCGATGCTTCCCCCTTAACATAAGGATCTAATCCCTCTTCCTCCACATTCATAATCCAATTTCCCACTCCCGCACAAAGTCTCGAATCCCACATTCCTTCTCTCCTATGACTCGATGTTAAAAGACTAATCGCCTCTCTCCTCAATCTTCTATCTCTCGATTTCGTTGCCACGACGAATAATGGCGGAATGATCCCAAGATCGAGTGCAAAAGAGGGTTTAATATGCGAATAAGTTTCATGCGAATGTTTTCCATCAGGACCAGGAATCGGAGAACTCGTGACCTTAACCCCAAATGGCGTTCGCATTCCTCTTTTAATTCCCGGACCAGAAGTAACATGTTTACAACCTGCTCCACATCGTGCTTGTGCCAATGCTAACTCTTCATCTACGATCAATTCTTTCGCTAATTCATTGATCTCGGCGAATCTAGGAAGAAATTGATCAAAATCCATTTCGTTGGCAGAAAATGCCGTAAAGACCAGAATTCGTGTCATGATACACGTCATTTGAAGAACAATGATACCCGCTCTCTCAATGTTTGAAGTACCAGGTGCACGGCGTTTGGCAAGAAGAGGAGCGAATGTCGTTTGCCATTGTTCGAGAGAACGACCGAAACCGTATCCGTTGGATTTGATAGAGGCAGGAAGAATATTATTGGATACAGTGTAGAAACCTACTAGCTCCTCGTTATATCTCATAATCCTTTCACATAAAGCATCGAGCACTAATCTTGCCTCGTGGATATTTGGAAAGCTTTCGGGAATGGGTGCTTCGATTGAGGCGGTTGTGCCAGTTGAGCTATCGGACGGACTGGGTGGATTTGCCAAACTAGGATCTCGAGAAACGTGATATCTCCAATCGAGATTCGTTGGAGAACTAGTTGTTGAAGGAGAGGGCGGTCCGGATTGTGATGCTACGGGATTAGCGATACTTGGATTGGTAGAGAGACGAATAACCCATGGAGCTGGAAAATGAAACGCCATATCGTATGATTTGGCTTGAATAGCCATGCGTGTAAACATTTGTCCCAACTCTTCTTCCACAATATCATCCTCGCGCTGAATATACGGTTTCTTCCTTTCCCTACGTTGTTTTTCCATCACTCCTAACCCTACTTGTACTTGTTTAATAGCAGCCTTGTGATCCCCCACAAAGGATTGAAAACAAGTGAACAACACGCTGGAAATTAAAATCGTTCGTTGAGATCTGACCTCATTATTCGAGATACTCTGGCGCATGCGCGTCACTGCTTTTCCATACTGTTCCCAAGCGAAACTCCAATGAGTAGGTGCGGAATCGCCGCTCGAAGTACCTTGATTAGAAGGGGTAGGAGAACTCGGAGGTGATTCAGCGACTTTTTCCAATGTTTTGTAGAGAGCTCCAAGAGCTACAACGGCATGACGTATGGATGCTTCAGAATGCGACTCTTGAAGAACACTACGCGTCCAGAATTCCGAATCGAAGAATCCAGACAATTCGCTGGCGGTATGAGTGCGGAAGACTTGGAAATATTGACCTTCCTTTGCGTTGAATGGGAGACCGAGAGTGGGTGATGGAAATATCTCGGAGTCAATTTCGATGGAATTGATGGTTGATGGTGTGAGGATTGATGGTGTGGGAGGTGAGAATGGACTGATAGATCTTGATTTATTGATGATACGTGATGTATTCCTAGGAACGAGTGCCGTCGAACCAGGTAAAGCCGTCGTTACTATGGTATTGTGGGGAGGTATTGGATGCGATTCCAATCCAGCATTACTCGGTCGAGGAGCAATTGGTAGAGTATTACTGGCATGCCTATTTCTCGGATTGTACGCTGGGTAACCATCGCATCGTCTCCCTGATCTCACACATTTTGTACATTCTGGTCTTGTTTCGTCGCATTTCACTCTTCGATTCCTATTACATGAAGAAAGTTCCGTGTATTAGCCAAAGATTGATTGTCTTGCTACCACCATCATCGAATAGCGCAGGACGCGGGGAAATTGAACGCGGGAACCCCAGAATTGCTAAAATAGTATGGAAAAAGAAAAGAAACCCCCCAAAGGCAAAGGAACTAACTTACTTGCAATTATTACATCCTGTCTTTACTTTTGGGCGACTTGCACGACGCTGCCTCACTTTATTTCCAGTCTCTGTCGCATCTGCCATGACTGTTTTGATCGAAGGTTTGTCTGCATTTCCCTTGGGGATTTTTTTTTTCTAAGAATACCTTATCACCCTTGCGATTTCGAGCAGCGCCGCAATGCAACAGGTCGGAGTTTGTCCAGGATCAATTCGGAGGTTTATACGTCCTATGGTCAGATAATAGAATCAAGAATGGGCGGTTAAGGAGAGAGTGAGCGAGAGAGAGAGAATAGCATCAGGATAAATAAATATTATTAAGATTGGCTCAGATCAGGAAGATCAGAGCAATTGCAAGGTTAAAAACCAGATTGATCAAAGATTGTTGAAGATATTTCCAATGGTTGAAATAGAATGAATGAATAGGCAGAATTTATAACACAAGAACACGCAACACGAGGTTGTACGCTTTCGGTGAGTTGGTCATGAATTATATTAAGTAGATAGGTAGTTATCGTTTGAGAATTTGACTTTGACTTTGACTTTGACTTTGACTTTGACTTTGAGACCTAGAGACCTTGAGACCTTGAGATGCAGATTGTATGTATGTATGTCTGTATTGGATGAGTGCAGTTTACTCAGGCGCTGAAGAATGTGAGATGAAGGGGGAAATCTTTCACCCGAAAATCTCCAGATATCTCCAGATTCGTCAACGATAATGACAATCCCTTTTTGGGCGTGTTGGTGCGACGAGGTGATGAGACTACCAAGTTGTTTCAAGGAAGGTAACAAAATGTACTTGCTAGACTGTAAGAAATTCGATATGCTGCACCGCAATGAAATTTAAGAATAGAATGGAAGGAATGGAAGGAAGGATCGAGCATCATCGAGGTGTGGTGGGTTAAGGGAAGCTACTAGGTGTCGAGACGAAATATGCAGCTATACATGCAGCTATACCGATAAATTTGTTAGAACCTCGGCACCTTTCCCCTTGAAACCAATCATATCACTCGATTGTGTGCTCACTCAGAAAGACTATTAGGAAACCTTTGATGCAAGATTATAGTCCGTAGTCTGTACGAAGTAGGTACGTACTCCTACTTTTTTCATTCTTTCCATTCTTCATACTCTCCATTTTTACTCTATTCCCCCCTCTTCGGTCTTCATCCCTCCTCTCTTCTCTTGTTGTCTCTCCTCTCCTTGATCATCGATACTTGATACCATTAGTCCAGTTAGCAAAGAGGAATGGCTAGACAATAGCTATGTCCCGGTGTATCCTAAACCTTACGACTCTAAGCCTGAACCTTGTGGAGATCTTCTCACAAGCACCAAATTGCTACCATCCGTTGATCTGTGTTGCAGCCAATGAAAGTGCTGGTTGGGCAATACACGGTTGACCTCTTCCATCGTAGCTCAAGCACGAGTCCAATAATCCTTACACACGATTCATGAGGATTTGTCTTGAATCTTGATACATATCTTGATACATATACTTGAAGAGAAGAGAAGATCAGGCAGTATCTGGGATATCTCCGTCGACGGTATTCCTCACTCCTTTCGGTGTGGAAGATACCCTCATTCATAGGTTAACGAATTATCTCTCGCTCACTCCCGGCATCACAAAACTACCGTAAGCACCACATCATCTTGCTTGACCTACCTATGACCTACTACTCTATCTGAAAAGAGGCTAGAAAACGCGGGAGGAGAATGCTGTAAGCTGTGATTGTGGAAAAGAATCAGTATGACGGGTTATTTAATCTTTCGCAGGGCTGAAAGAATGTGCTGATGCTGATGGCCTGAACGATTAGGGCTGACTGTCAGCATGCATATTGAAGGAGACGAGTCATGAGATGAGATTCGTTTACATGTATATTGAAGGTAAATTTGATGCGAGATGTAAGACTTACTTGTATGAGTCGTACAGAATGAAATGAAGGGGGGAGGATATGGGGACATATTGGAGAAATGCCTAGTAACTCAGACGTTGCTCCTGAATATGAAAAGCCTAGAGAAAGCCTACAGGCCAGAAACATCTATTTTCTACCCCTATAATCAAAGTAGAAGAAAAGCTCCTCAGCTTGTAATTCCCTTCACCCCCAAACCCATGCTACAACAAATCACACATTGTAGACAAAATTGCTTAAAATACAAGAAGTCTCCATTAGCACTTACCACCATTACGCAGACCATAGAGTTATACAACAGGCCGAGAAGGAGCAAGATAAGATCCGACGTTGTAAGACCAGTTAAAAACAAACACCGAGTTATTTCAATCTACAACATAAAGTAAAGCCTCCCAACTTCTAGACCCGATGCTATTTCATCAAGCTTCATGAATCGTTCAAAAAGCAAGTCGCGACGAGATTGTCTCATTAACTATACCGCTCTTCAGTAAGAAAATAGCTCCTTTATGTAGCAATCATTTCGAATAGCGATCATCACATTTCCGAGTCTCGAGATCCATTTGTGGCGACGAATAGAGAGGTTATGAGGTAGAGGCTTTGGGAATCATTGGTTGTGTTGCTTGTTGTTTTCGATTGTCGGGAGCTGTAGCTACCACGAAGAATCATCGAATCGCATCTTCCGCCCCCCAGGTGTGTTTTTATTAGTGCGTCGATGTCTTTTCTCTCGACTTGACTTTGTGGAGATGTGAGTTTAGTTGTGGACCCTCCCGTCCGTATCCTGATTTATTTGTTTTGCGAGATTGTTTTGGAAATGTGAGGGGAAAACTGGGACTCTCGAACAGCATACATACACTTTTTTCATTATTTGATATCAATTGGGGAGCCCATTTACTCGGCTACAGAAATCGAATGTATGTATCTGTCAGCCTTCATATAATATACTTTATATTTCATTTATATAACTATCTCAATATACTAGGTAAGCGATATCTGAGAAAATCCTTATGACAATAGAATCTACTTGTGCAATTGTATATGGCTTTTTCGGTCTTGATGCGAATCGGAGGGACCGAAGAATATGAAAACAAGCCTTACTCTTCTACTGAACGGGAGAATAGAAGAGGCTTTCAATCAATATACGAAGTACGCCTCTTCCCGCTTGTATTTGGTGGAAGAAAACTCTAAATCTTATAGTCAATGTGTTCCACCTTCTAAATCTGTGTAACAGTGATAGTGATAGTGATAGTGATAGTGATATTTGGAATGATAAGCCGCAAAGGCTTGCAATCATAAGCACTGTCAAGGACTCTAATAAATACTAAAAATCAGCTCTTCTTCACTACTCGTCCAATGACTTCCAACTAGCCACTCTGACATTATGACATGCATTAGGTTGTGCCGTAGCGTGCTATCGTACATCTATCGGTTTGTAAATCTTCCCCAAATACCCCCATTTGAAGATGCGATTTGTCGACGACAGTTACACAGTACATGGGTTCACATTGTTCTAACCATTGATTAACTTTCGGACGTCGATGTTGACGTGGACACATTGGCATCTCGATGTGTTTTTGATCCCATTCAGGCTATTTTCACGTCGGAATCTTTATATTCCTTAGGTATCGCATGTTGTATGACTTTGGGTGTTTGGTTTCGGGTTCTTGGGTAGAAATCACAGTGGGAATTCAAAGGAGATATAATAGACTTTCAGTGATCCGGTGCCACGGTTAAGATAATCATGGTACGCCTAATATTCGGAGGCTAGGGTTTTATCCATATTACTTTGGGCCCCCGGGTGTGGCCCTTCTAACCGCTATTCTAGAAAAGGATTAATCGGCGAAAGCTTTTGTTTTGATCTAGGTATGTTCGGTATCTCCCTTCGACAATGTTTCAAAGGTCGATATAACTTCTCAGTACGCGAATTGCTGATTAGTCGTTTGTACTCTTGACTCTTTCGAATCTTCCCATGGATCAACCTTGGTTGACGAACTATTGATTGATCATAGACATTAGTTTCGTAACTTTCTACTCTTTTGAGTGAATCGTGAATTCGTGGCAGCGTTCTCATCTCATCTTCCTTCCCGGCGATCATCTGTCATCTCACATGGTCACCCTGCTGGATATCTAAGATTATTGAACTTAGTCTAATGTATTTGAACTTATCCCGTGATGATTTCCATTATCATGCTCGTTATCCCTCGTTGCCCCCTTGTCTCGTTTGATTTGCTTCGTCACATCTTACCTGATGTGAACTTTATATTGACTGAATATCTCTCCCCGGACAGAGGAAGATTTCCCCCGCTTGTTTCCACGGGAGGAGTTTGTCGCTACTCCGTAGAGCGTTATTAGGCACCGCAGAAAGAGCTTTTTTTTTTTCAGACGCATCCGATGTTAAATACGAATGAATGAATATCATATACATAAGGTAAGAGGTCTCGTGCTGTGACGACACTGCTTACTTGATTGTCAATGATCTCTATAGTATTGATGCTTCTAATTGTTACAATATAAAAGTACTCTGCGAGTTACCTAGATGTCAAAATGTCAGATATACATTAACCAGACAATCAGATGAACCGTGAGCCACCAATACCTTTAGCCTACCAATCTCCTAATGTTCTTCCTTTTTCTCGCAAACTTTCCAAATTCCAACAGTATAGGTCCCCACACCCAAAACTAATGCCGATTAGACTCGCAAGCATGGCATCCATTCATCCATCCACTCCACTATTTTAACATTTCCGTCTCGCATCTCGATCTTAGTCTCTGGCACTTTTCATCCATCTAGCCACGCATATCCGCTTCAATTTCACTCACAGGGCACTGACTGGTACCAACTATACCTAGGTACGCATCGCTTGAAATCCCTTGGTGCCGCCATGCCATCCCACGTGTGAGGCTCGGTCTGCTTGCCCTTCCATCCAAGCTTCCTCGCTTCGCTCGCACCAAAAAATGCTCACTACTGTAGTCTTACATTTGTTACCCCATCTCGAGTCCCTTTCAACCAATCGCAACTTCTGAAACCGGTTCACACCCAATTCAAACTTCGCGATTATTTCCCAATAGAGTAATGTTGATTTCGATTTCGAGACTGCCTAGTACTATCGCCGCATCGCGTGTGCACAAACCGTAACCACAACCACAACCTAATACCTACTAAGCTAAGCAAATTTACCATACCCGTCCCTGGCGTCCCATGGCCATGGAAGTGAGATTGTACCCTTTTGATTGAAGTATTTATCTCACTGGAGAAAATAAAATAAATAAGAAGAAGAAGAAGAAGAAGAAGAAGAAGAAGAACAATAACAATACCAGCTGCAATGTAATAATAATCTACTTATCCCCACTGATCGATCAAACTCCCTTGAAGATCTTCTTAAGCTTATTACTTCCTTTCTATCTTCATTAATTACTTTGAGTTTGAAGGCTTCACATTTTTATAAGAATGGATGCTTTTCCTGTCGGTGTTTCATTCAAATCTACGCTGGCATCTTTTACATGAAACGAGTGTCGGGAGTTCAACCACATTAAGCAAATTAACTTCAACCTCATTCATCGCTCGCTTGGAATCTACATTGTTCAAGCAATATTCAAGCATCGAATTCCCATAATATATCGATCTCGGACAATTTGTCATTTCTCATCAAAGCATTCTCGGAATTTTATTTGCTTTTTCTTCATCCTCATATTCATCATCATCATCATCGTCAGATCAATACCTTGAACACATCGGCCTACTAGCATTTTGGGGAAAAGAAGTCCACAACAAATTTACGATTCAAAGTCCGAATTATATTCACATCTTCCTATCAAAGCGTCTAAATGGTGACCACGATCCACGCTCGAATCTTTCGCCATAGTCATAGTCAAGGACACGATATAAAGTCTTCAGTTAGTCATCAGTCGAGAAGAACAGAACGAGAGAGCTCGTTACCCAGAAGAATGGATAGGGAAAGCTCCCTTCCACCAACTACATGTAGTAGAGGTCATACACACCCCCCCTGGAATACGACGGGTGTATTGAGGATAGCGAAATGTGAAAGTGTTTGTGGATTTTGTATGAAAGAAACGGATACAGCTGCAAAATTGAGGAAACATGTTTCTGTTCATATCAAAAATGAAGGACTTAATTTGACGATAGCGGAGGCCGCTAGTGGAAGAGGAAGATTGTAAGATTTTCTATTTTTGGGGATTTTCCACCCCGGGATGATTCATTCACATGGAAATTGTACGCCATTTACTAACCAATCGTATAGAGAAGTACCAACTCACAAATCTTCACATGAAAGATTGGGATCCACGTCACATTACTCATCACGTGGCAATATCACACCTCTGGAGGATGAACATCCCCAACTCACATACTCATCACATACGCCTTCCTATTCATCTTACTCCTCAGCATCTCTTACTCCCTCATCTTCACCCTATACAAGTATAGCTCAACGACCCTTAACAACCTCCACCTCGAGCTACGATTCATACTCCTCTCATCGATCCCCATCCAGTACCAGCGGGCTATCCTACTCTACCCTCCCGAGTCCAAGCAGTACCTCCGCCCTCTCCAACTATCGTTCCCTAGCCCAAGGTTCAACACACGCCCTCACCGATCCCTTCTCCACTCTCCGCTCTCACGCTCTCCGTACAAAATTCGAATGGACCGTCATTACCCCCTCGGAAGGTTTCGCCATCCTCGATTACTGCAAATCGTTATCGCAAGCTAGTGGTGAACAAGTGCCGTGCTATAACCGCGAAACGCTATTTGATGAAGAGTGGCAAGCTCACATGAGGGATATCCACGGGGTGTATTTAATATGGCCAGAAACGTGGATGAAGCGAGTCGAGGTGTTAGATTTAGAGGGGGTGGGAGGAAAAATCGAGGGAATTAATGATTTAGTTATGGAAGGGAAAGCGATGGAGAATTGGGGATTATTAGGGAACGAATGATAATCGAGAGAATATTTATGACTACGCGCCGGGTTTTAGGAGGGGGGAATGGGACTGGAAAAGCGATGAATACTGGATGAAATATCAGCATGGTATGCATGAATTATAGGGGATCATACGGAATTCAATTTCTTTGCAAACGCAAGCATGGAGTTTGGGGATCAGAATTGGAATTGGAAAGGCCTGGTACGGGAATGCATTAGAAAATGGAAAGGTTATAAGGGAAAGAAAGCACCGGCAAGCGCTGGAATTGTTATATCATGATGTCCGTTCGTTCGGATACATGGTAATTCTCATATCCTTATCATTTTATGGATATGAATATGAGGGTGAAATGAATGTATGAATTCATTAACGAAATCTTCGATGAGATGTACTTGGTGCTTTGGACTAAGAATTTCCCAATTTAATATACAAAACATCAAACTTAAACTTGGACGCTGTCATACATGAGATGAATGTTACTGATGGTAACATATATCGTGATTTGAAATACCGCCAGAACAGAGAGGAGATATAATAACAACATTTATCTGCTATCTGATAACAGATCATATGTTACTTCCAAGAGAGTTCACATCTTATCACCAACCGCATGCCCGACACGCAAAAGTGACGAATGCTATCACATCAGTGTCTGGTTTGAGCCCTAGGACAAGAAGCCATTGGGCGTCAATCACATCGTACTGTAATGCCTATGTTCGAGAGACCATACTACCGGTGCTAAACTACCACACCAGTATGCAGTGACGATAATGATACACATCCGATGAAATACAACAAACATAGATACCATAGAAAAATTGAATTAAAAATTCCCCATTACATCAATCGGACCCTTCCCAAGCCCTTGACAGAATATTGAATATGGACATGCAACACAACTTCTCCAATGCGTAGGGATCACCCCGAAAA